CCGTCCTGCCGTGCCAGGCTACTGCGAATAAAAGCAAATGAACTCAGAGACATGAGAGACAAGTAGTGTGCTTGATGTAGAAGACCCAGGCTGATTTTGTCGAGTTTGCCGGATTGTCGGACATATTTAGATGTTATGCCCGTCTGCTTAATACAGTGACAAGCAGTCTACATTGCTTCCAAACTGTGACCGATGTTCAGTGGCTTCAGCACAGAATCAATCGCCACAGTTCGATTAGTGGGTGAACTGGTAATGGTACATGCACGAGGGTCACAATCGTTTTATGTTTGCACCTTTAGAAAAGACCCACTCAGTAGATTTGTCACTGTCTATCACTCCGGCAACTTCCCAGAGCTTCATCACTCATGTAAAAGTGAAATATGGAGTGAGAACTGGCTTTCAGACCTTGGCTTCTAAATATTTTCGGCTCAGACTTCGCTTTACTGTAAAAGCATAAAATGAATTGCTGAGTAAAAAGTTTGCTGGAAACTGAAGTTTACTCATACAACAAAGTGGGGGAGATGCACCAGGAGAAGGAGTTAATACAAACTGACAAAAACGGAAGCGGGAGAGAAGAGGAAAAAAAACGGAGCCTATCAAAATTTTCAGATTTTGAAGATTTACCAGAAAAAAAATTCATTTAAATGGAACGAATGTATAAAAAGGGCCAACATACTGGGAGAATCCGGAGGGAACAGCAGACGGTTGTTGTAATTATCACGTATTGTTCGCACAAGCGATTTATCCTCCACTAGTCGGCTGCAGGATATTTCTTGCGAGATAATTTCCAGGAGTTCGGAGACGCAGTGGTCGGTCACTTTGTTAATATTCAAATACCATGAAGTTGAGCCACTTCCTAACAAAATCCAGTTTTGTTAGAAAATTATCGCACAGCCAAAAAAATGCTCCACAAGTTTTTCCATAAATTAAAAAGCTGCACTCACTAAAAAGCTATATTACAGTAATAATTTTTACATGAACAATGCAACAAATTCACCATCAGATAGGGAAAGACCGCTGTCCAAAATGATGTGCAATAACAACCTGGCACCTGCGAAAAAATAACTGATTACACAAGAAGTTTTCAATGAAGCTGTGCATATAGATCGGGCAGTAGAATCCAACCGGAGGCATGCAATTTAGAAATTATAGGCCTAGCACAGCTGAGTCCGGCGAACGGGAACAGCTTGGATTGCAACCAAGATAACTCAGGGACATTTCCTCTAGCAATTTAACTTCGGCTGGGATGTTTTTTACCTAAGCCTAGCTCCATTTAGCTGGAACTCACACTTATCTAATCTAAACTCTCCTACATTTTCCCACGCAAACAGTTTTGACACTTACTACCAGAGCAAAACGAAGCTGTCCCTTCACAGATATTTGAATCAGTAATTTTACACTTACAGGCCTACCTTTACGGTTTCTGCAAATAACAGCATATGACTGTAATCAAAGAAACAGGAAAATCGGACCTGAAAAAATCGAACCTGTACATACGATCACACCACTGCTCTTTTGCTTTACCATTTCGCCGTCATCGCACTGAATTTCATAATACGAAACACGAGATGATAAGTTTTCCCCAATGAAGACATCGTTGAGAGCTGGATCTGGCAAAATATTCACATAGCTCTTTGTGCTGCTTTTTTTTCTCGGCGTCACTGTATTCCTGAAAATATGGGAAATGAATTATGGAAAGTGAAAGCTGGCCTTTATGTCAGCCAGCCATAGGTAATTAAGCTTCTCGATCAGCAGAATTGAAAAAAACCCTCCATTAGTGTGCGCTGAAACCAAAAGTGATGAAATGTTTGTCCGAGTGATTCGGAAATTACAGAAGACAGAGGATGTGAACTCAGTGATGTTCTACTGATCGCTGGGAAATGAGCATGTGGCAACAAAACAATACGAATGAGTGCACTGAAATACATTATTAATAACTAGCGACGCGCACCAGGATAGTCGGTGCGACCAAGTGTTTTACGCAGTTTCGCCCAGCGTACCTCATAAGGAATTTCACTGTTTTACATTTTGGTCCATGAAGAAGTAGGCGATATGCTGTTTGATTCCTGAGCTGCGAAATTTCCCACCAAAAATTTCACGTGCCAGTGTGTGGGACTCAAACACACATGAAAGCTGAATCTGAAACCTTAAACGGTGAACACTGTCCCAAAATTCGGAACTCTCAGTTCTCTGAATTG